CAGCCCCCGCGTCCGCTCCGTGCGATGGGACAGCCGAGCGCAGGGACTGCTCATCGACCGCTCCCTCTTCGAGCAGGAGCTGCTCAACTCGGGCGACGCCCACGGGGCGGGCACTGAGGGGGCGGGACCAGCCCCCGACTCTTTCCAAGCCACGCACTTCGGCAGCTTCGTGCGGCAGCTGAACCTCTACGGCTTCCGCAAAGTGCCGGGCTGGGTTGGCTCGGATGAGCCGGGCGATGCCAGGGGCTGGCTCCACTTCAGGAACCCCAACTTTCGTCGCGACCGCCCCGACCTCCTTCTCCGCATCAAGCGCCTGACCAGGGCCAACAGGCAGCGGCTGGCAGCGGGGCTGGAGGTGCGCAGCCGCCAGCCCAGCCGCTTCCAGCAGCTGCACACGGAGCGGGCGGTGCCCTCCTTCCCCGCCGGGCAGCCGCCGAGAGCCGGTGAGACGGGGTGGGAGCTGCGGGCGAGACGGTGGCGTGGGCTGCGGCCGTGGGCACTGCCCGGCGGGGCAGGAGCGGGCCCTGCCCGTGCTGGGGCTGCTCAGCGCAGCTGCCCCGCCTGGCACAGGGGCTGTCCTTGGGCAAGGCAGCTGTGCCGGCAGGGCCCGGGAGCTGTGCCGGCTCTGCCGGGCTGCCGGGGCTGCGGGACAGTCCCGCCGCGGCTGCGCTCACCACAGCCTGGCCCGCTCGGCTGCAGCTGGCCCAGCCGTGCGCCGTGGCTGGCGCTGCTCCTTGCCCTGCCCTGGGATGCTTGGGGGGCTCTCTGAGTGCGTGTGAGCCGAGGGCTTGGGCCCAGCTGGAGGGAGCCTCCTGTCCCTCCAGGGCAGCGGGGAAAAGACCTGCCAGTTGGGTTTCTGGCAGTTGCCTCCTGCCAGGGTAAGACAGTTTTCCCAGACAGTTGAATGAATAGGTGAGAGCTCAGTAAACAAGGAGCTGCTAGTTGAATAGCTCCAGAACATGTTTGGTTCTTTTTTCTTCTTTCTCACGCTGCTTGGGAGGATGGGAGCTTTTGTTTTCCCTGACAGAAGTACAGTTGCTGCCAAGGGAAACACACCTGAAGACCGAAAGTGACCCAGCCTTCCCTTTGCTTCCTTTCTTCTTCTCTCACTCCTACACAGTCCTCTCATACCACGACCTCGCTGCTGCCTCATCTGAGGGTTTAGAACTGCTTCCAGGCCCTTCCAGGCTAAGTGCAGCTGCTCAGGAGGCTGATGTTTTCCTAAGATCACCCAAGAAAGTCTTTGCCACATCCGGACTTCTTGGGATTTCATCGCAGCAACCAGGCACAGGCAAATTTCAATTCAGCCATGAGCTCATCATTCCACTGGTTCCCATGGAGCTTAAATGCCAACCTCAGCTCATCATTCCACTGGTTCCTGTAGACCATCACAACCCTTCCATGGCCCCTCCAGAGAGGAGCAGCTGCCCATCTTCAGAGCAGCAGTTGCCAGCCCGCAGCCCATCAGGTAGGGAAAGAGCTTCTACCTTTGCTTTCCAAGCAGGTCCTGGTTAATGACCTTTTAAAGTGCTTTCCTGCAGTGCTCTATCATGGATAGATTGCAGATGAGAATCAGGTAGAAGGTGTCAAGTCGCCTAGGAAGGGGGACCTTAAAAACAGAAAGGTTCTCTGCCTGCTTTTCCTGCCCTTGCTGCAGATTTGGAGGGTGTTCTGGGCATTTGGCAGACAGCCTCTGTAGGGGTACAAGGGCAAGGTGAAAGATATTGCCTAACAAGTGGTCAGTGTTAGGTGCACTCTCCTCTTTCTTTGAATGAAGCCAAACTAGGACCCTGATAGGATACTGCAGATGTTTAAGACTGTCTGCCCTGCAAATCAAGCCGTGCCATTGAAATGAGCTCTGTGCGCCCCACAACAGCTGCAGCTGCAGAATATGGTCTCACCCACAAGGATGGTTCTAAGAAAAACTCACAGTTTAATTTCAGTGTGTGTGTGCAGATCTGGGCTCTTCCTGGGTGAATCCACTTTCTGTGGTCCATTGTGATGAGAAACTCAAGCAGCCAAATCCCAAAGCTGCTGGGAAAATGCAAAAAGCTGTGATTATAAGGTGTTTCTGTGTGTCTATATCAGATTTCCAGTCCATGCTTTAATCTATGTACATATCAATTAGCATAAATATTTTTAAGAGGAAGAACTCACTCCTCCAATCCCCTGGGAAGTCTGAATACATTTCTGGAATGGAGGTTGCTGTGTGCTTCCTGTGATGTTTGATGCAAGGCAGCACTAGAGCTCTGCGTCCCAAAGACACATTGTGGAGCCTGACCAATGTGTTTGGATTCTTGCAGCCATCCCAGACACTTCAGCCCCCAGCACTCCAGCTGGCAGTGCAGGTTGTGCACCATGGACAGCCCCCAGCTGGCTGTGGAATACTCCTGGGGAAGAGGAATTGCCACCACCGGATCTGGACATGGTGCTTGAGACGCTGGAGGAGATGTTTTCTCCCTCTGCTCAGGTAACTGCATTGGACAGGGAAGAAAGGGGCTGGACCGAGAGCTTGTGAATGATGTTGCGTGGCTGAGAAGGAAAAGCTTTCTTGAGTTCAGCTGTGAATGGACAAGGAAGGCTTTGCTTACTGAAAGAAGATTTCCAGAAGAAAAGGGAATGAAAAAGAGGGATCGCCCTTAAATGAGGATGAAAGGTGTTCACCGGGTTTGGTTGCTCCTGCTGAGAAGAATCCCTGGTGCAGGGGCATTTGTGGTGAGGAGGTGGAAGCTTTGTAGGTTCTAAGAGGCTTTGTTTGCTGGGAAAGAGGAGAAAAGTGTTTGGAGAATGGCACTGAAGGCCAAGTGTCCCCTGCAGGGAGGGGCATGCCAGAGGTGCCTCTGTAGCAGCAGCAGATGTGGGCTGTGCCTCTTTTGGGTGGGAAGGCCAAGGCAAAGCAAGGGCTGGGCTGCAGCTGCTGCTGCTGTGTGAGCCCTGCCGTGCGTGTGGGCGCTCCCAGAGCCGTGGCTGGGGCTGGGCTGCAGCTGCAGCTTTCTTGTCCTCTCAGTAAGCTGCTGCCTGCAGTCCAGTTTCCATTGGGAAATCCTCAGCTGGGCAAACTGGCCAGTCGTGCTGTCCATGCTGCAGAGCTCAGTCCCCTTGCTCTTGGGCATCTCTGTGGGAAGAGATGTGTGTTCCCATGCTGTCCCTGCCAAGGTGCAGCCTGGATGAGACTGCTGTGCTCAGGGCAGTGGAGGGAAGAGCACATCCCTGTGCCAGGAGCTGGCAGGACGACTCCTTAGCACCCATTCCATGTGTTCAGTGTCACCCCCATGTTCAATACTGTCACTGTCAGCTTTGACAGCTTTTGGACTGTGTTTGAGAAGTCAAATTGTTTTGACTGTTGAAGGGCTTTGGGGCCCAGAGTTCTTGTTAGGAACAAGGGATTAAATGTGTGAGCCATGGAGGTGTTGGACCAGGTGTTTTGTGTAAGTGATGAGAAGGGTTTCTTCCTTTCTGTTTCTCTTTCAAGGGGAATATTAATGTTGCCCCTGAGTCTTCAGGAGGGGAGCCTGTGGACAGAGCTGCAGCAGAGGGAGCTTTGCCTGGCACCAAGAGCTGCAGGAACAATTCCCAGGAGCCCGAGGAGCTTGGTAAGGACAGAGCCCCCACTGGTTTAGAGAGGGGTGAGATGGCTGCTCTGAGCCTGCCTCCGGCAGGAAGGGAGATGAGAAGGGTTGAGTTCCTGTCTGCAGGCTTGGTGCTTCCTGGTGCCTTGAGTTCAAATCCTGCATGGGCACAACCTGCCTGAGCCCTGCCCTCCACGCTTCTCCAGAGGCTCTGACCCTGAGTCCTCTGCTGGGGCAAGAGAGCAGGGAATAAACCTGACCTTGTGGGAGTTGTGTCACCAAGCCGGGTGTCCCAGTTTTGTGCTGATGTCCATGGATAAGTTTGCTGCAGGATGTCAGTGCTCTGGAGGCAACACTGAGTGACTCTTGAAGCAAGAGAGGAAAAGCCCAGCAAAAAGTGAATGTAGAAGTCGAAGCTTTTTGTCTCCAAGCATTAAATTAATGTAGTGCCAGTCTGCTGATAGCTGTAGTGAGATACATTAAAAATACAAGCAGCAGAAGTTCTGAGGCCAAGGAAATCATTAGTCACAAATCCAGCAGGTCAAAGAAAAACTGAAATTACCCCAAATTAGGGAGAAATACAGGAGAGAGAGAGCACTTTCAGTCTGCATTCTTGAGCAAAGCTGGTGCAGCCTGCAGGCCTCATAGGGAGCTCTGTCCCTCCCAGCCCTTCCTGCCAGAGCTGATGGTCGAGTTGCAGCAGCTGCTGCTCACTGCAGAGGGCAGTTTGTAGATGCCAGGTAATGGAGCTGGTTCATGACTCAGCTCCCAGCACCTTCAGCTTCAGCCATTTCAGTGAGGACTGAGGTCTCTCTGTCAGCACAGAGAAAGTACAAGGCTGGGCTTCTCTGTGGCAGCTGGGACTGTCTCTGTTTCAAGCTCTCCTGGGTGCCATTTGCACTGCAAGTGCTGAGACTTTACTGGGACTCTTCAAAACTTCAGAAGTTTTGAAAACTTGGAAGGATCCCTGTTCTTTAAAGAGCAGATCTGAAATTGTCAAATAAGAGTCTGCCTTTCAGGCCATTTTTTCAGTCTTTGATGGAAGTACAGTTACTTCAAAATGGAAAGATGCACAGAGGCCAGTACTGACCCAATGTTCCCTTTGTTTCCCAGATATCCACCTGATCTACCTCGCCAGGAGGGCTGCCCTGCGTGAGAAGAAAAATCAGAGGGAGAGCCTGTGACCATCGGGCAGGTGGAATCTCTCCATTTATATACAGATTTCTATAAGTCTATTTGTATATCCCTATAGTTATATTTGTAGATTTATACAGGTGTGTTAATATAGTAAATCATTATATATAATTTTAATATATATTTATTTTTAAATATACATATTGTAAACATATATTTATATATTTTTATATATTTATTTTATATATATAGTTATAGATTTATACAGGTGTTTTTATATAGTTAAATCAGTATATATATGTATGTAGTTACATTGATAGATTTTGAGATTTATGTTTATATGTGTATAGAGTAACATATATATATTTATATATATGTATTAAAGTGCATAGCTATTTAGTTAGAGGTTTGTGGCAACTTAGATGCATAGATTAAGCTATGTAGGCCTAGGCTGCATTTGTACCTCTTTCCCCCTCGGCTGCCTTTTTCACCTCTTGCTTTTCCCCCGGTGTCCCCTGTGTCCCCTGTCCCTGTGCTGGGTCCGAGCTGGCGGCCGGGCCGGCCGGAGCAGCACTTCCAGCCCCGGCTGTCCCTGGAGCGGTGGGAGCTGCCGCTGGCCCCAGGCACTGTCCCCTGAGGAGCTGCTGAAGGACGGTGAGACTGAGGGGGCTGAGGGGGCGGTGGCGCTGAAGGGACGGTGACCCTGAGCTGCTGCTGGGGCTGAGGGCTGTGGGGCAGCCGAGGGCCATGGTGGCACTGAGGTGACAGGGAAGTGGCACAGGCTGATGGGGTGGCGGGTCTCAGGGGACGGAATGGCTCAGAAGGGACTGAGGGGGATGAGAGGACTGTGAGGGGCTGAAGAAACTGAAGGGGGCTGGGGCTTCACCGAGAGCATGGCGGGGCTGAGGGGATGGAGGGGGCCAGCAGGGAGCACAGAGGGCTCTGGGACTGCAGCTCTTTTAGGCCTTGGAAGCAATTCCAGAGCCTCCACTTTTGCCACAGCTGCAAGGAAGACCTTGAAGACAGCCACAGAGTGACGGGAGGCAGCCGGGAGGAGCTGAAGGCCAGCAGCAAGAGCAGCGAACGGGGACCTGTTGCTGCCAGCCTGGAGAGAGCCCGGGTGAGGCCACAGGCCCGGGCAGGCAGGCTGGGGCTGAGGCTGCCGTGGGCTGCGGCCGTGGGCACTGCCCGGCGGGGCAGGAGCGGGCCCTGCCCGTGCTGGGGCTGCTCAGCGCAGCTGCCCCGGCTGGCACAGGGGCTGTCCTTGGGCAAGGCAGCTGTGCCGGCAGGGCCCGGGAGCTGTGCCGGCTCTGCCGGGCTGCCGGGGCTGCGGGACAGTCCCGCCGCGGCTGCGCTCACCACAGCCTGGCCCGCTCGGCTGCTCTTTCCGACCCTCCTGGGGAGGCTCTGACATTTCCTCTTCCCTGATGGAAGTGCAGCTGCTGCCAAGGGAAACGTCCCCATACTCACTCAGTGTTCCCTTTGCTTCCCAGATGTCCCATCTGCTGTCGCTGTCCAGGAGAGCTGCTCTGCATGGGAGGAGGAGACCGAGGGAGAGGCTTGGAAGATGGGGCAGCTGAGATCCCTCTGCTTGAAGCTCTGTTTAAAGATACATGGACTTTCACGTGGACAGGGATTATTTCATGTGTATTTCCATATGTGGGTTGCTATTTGTATAGGAATATTTCTATTTATATGTAATTATATGTATGGATGTATGCTATGTCTATGTATATGGTTCCATTTCTGTCTATTTATTGATATTCACATATGTGTCCAGATGTACAGCTCTGTGTTTGTATTCATGCAGTTGAATGGATATTTAGCTTGGCAGAGTGATATTTGTATATATACTGATATATATATTTTTTTAATATGTATATTTTATGTAGTATGTGATGTTTAATCTATACTTACATCTGTTGATTGTTATAGTTATGTATGTATTTATATATGTGCATATACATATGTATTTAAATCTATTTAAAGATGTATGCAGGGTATAGTTGTGTAATTCTATTGAATTCTTAGTGTGGGGCTATTTAGAGAGGGAATGTGTATTTTTGTATTTCTATATGGGCTCTACATTTGTAGCAATAGGTAATAAATTAAGTTGTTAAACGCCTAATTGATCTTTGTGTATAGTGAGTTGTGTATAGTAGAGGTTGGCAATAAATTAAGTTTTGTTAAGTGAATTTGGTATTTGTATATTTTTACATGGACTGGTTATAATAATCTAATAAACTCCTAGTTTTTACCTAAATTGAGATTTGTATAGTTCTATATTGTCAGTGTGGGTGTAGCAATTGCAATTTGTAATAAATGACATTTTCTAACTGAAATTGATTCTCGTGTATTTGTGGATCAGCAGTGTGGCTGTAGCAATCTGCAAGAAATGCCATTTGTCAGCTGCAATGAGTGTTCTGTGATTTGTGCTACCCAAAGCCATGAGCAGATGTAAATGCTGGAGGATTTTGGCCATGCAAATCTCCAGCCATGCCCAGCACATGCCTCACCTGCACTCAGGCTGGGCAAGGGAAGCACAGATTTGGGCTGACAGCAGAGCCCCACGTTGGCTCAGAACTCACTGCAGAGGCTGCTGAGAAAACTCCGAGACTCTGCTGAGAGCACAACTGCTCTGTGTATATGCAGATAATTCAGTCCATGTTTGGTTCTTTACATACAGACACACACAGATATATGTAGGCAGCGCTTAGAAACCTGTAACATACTCAATTATGGGAGCTGAAATGCATTTTTCTCTGTTTATATAAAGGGTCAGCAGAGTTGTGCCATTCTGTAGCCATCCTGTAACAGGCAGTGATCACTGTGTCTAAGCAGTGAAGTTGTAGCAATCCATAATGAATTTCCCTTTTAAACTGAGATTACCTTTGGGGCACTTCTCATTTCCATGATGAGTTACCACATCAATGTTTGTCCCTATTTCTTCACTGATCCTGAAGCTCTGGCGAGTGTAGGACAGGCCCTGGCACCCAGTTCCTCACAGGCCTGTCCAGCTGTGGGCAATAGACCTGTCTTGTCTGTGAAACATCCATCTGAGGTTATTTGTCTGAGAGCCGTGTCCATATCTAGAACCCCCTCAGGCAGCACCGTGGCTGGGGAGGGGAAAAATGTAAGAGGATTCTGGCATTTATTCCTTTTTAACACATATTTGCACTCAGCTGTAGCCTCAACTTAGTAAGGAAAAGGACAGACTTTCTTTAGTCATGCAGTGTGGGATAAACGGTGTGGGAACAGCCACAAGCCAAGCTGCAGGAGCAGCTTCTTCTTGGTCTTAACAGGACATTGTGTACAGGAAAGCACCACCACCTTAATGATTCACCTCTTAGGTAAAGCCACAATGGTTCACCATGTAAAACCAACTGGGGATGGAAATAACGAATGTCCCTGGGCTGGGGCAGAAGCCTGGGAGTCAAACACTTGGAAAAAGAGACCTGGCAAAGCCAGCCCAAGGCACAGGCACGCATTTGGCTCCGGGCAAGAGGGAGCTTGTACTGCCAGCACGGGAAGGGACTCCAGGCAGAGGAGCTGGCCCGCAGCAGGGAGCAGCTCCTGCTGTCAGGACTCACAGGACGCAGGAGCAGCGGGCACATGGCAGATGGACAGCAGAGCCACTCCTGAGCCGCCAAGGTGACCCCTCCTGGGGCTACAGTCACAGCGCAGTCACCTGTCCTGCACGCTCCCTTTGGCTTCTTGAGCTCCAACCACTCCAACAAAGCAGACCTGATCATAAATTATAAAAATTATAAGACATCAGAACTAGTTGGCCACTGCTAATAATGGATTTTTAATTTCTTTGACTGTCTCTGCATTAGTACCATCTGTGTTTCCAAAGGTAGTGCTCAGCATTTAGAGCCAAGCTTTCTCTGCTTTAGCAGATTTATATACATACATACATATATGTTTGTAATTTTATATGTTTGTAACATTCATCTGTGTGAAGAAAGGGTAACCTTAAGAAAGTGTACTTGTTTAACAACAGCATGGTTCCATAGAAATTTATTTCAAATTCTTTTCTGAGGTTCCTATACTAGAAAGACACTTTGCTAAAACTGTTAAGGATGAGAATTGCAGGGCTGGCTTAAAATATAATCCAAATTTTATTTCATTCTGTGTACCATTTCCATTAAATCTGATTAATATCCAGGAATAAAAAACTAGAAAACTAGATTTCTCTTTTCTTCTCTTTTTTTTTTTTCTAGGAAACAAGACGCATATAATTTTGATTTTTGTTTTAGAGACAGTAATCCACTGGACTAATTGACACCTTGGAATTTCTTTATCATTTACAAATACCCATGGCTCTCAGGAATAGAAAGGTTAAAGGAAGGGAAGAGAGCAAATCTTTTAAAGCAGTGACCTGAGAGTTATTTTACATCACTTTATAATGACCTGGTTAAATACACCATTACCTAAAAACCATGTATATATGTACTTGGTATGAAGTATCAGCTGAATAAATGCTATACATAAACAAGTTCTCATCTACATTTTTTGCTAGCCTCGTGTTCTGGTCTTTCTCAGTAAAATCAGGAAGAGAAACATTGCTGCTCTTTGAAAAATTAATCCATTAAAATATTGACAATCCTGAAGTTTGATTTAGGAGTGTACAAACAATAATTTTAATTGTCACCAAAGAGAAACAAAAGTGACACGTCATCTGTGGTAAACGCATCTGTCATCTGTAGGATGTTGTATAGGAGTTAATATGAAGATCTCATGAATGATGGGGATAAGAGACACTGACCCTTGAGGATTCAAAGAATCATTTCATAACAATAAAAAGAGTTTATCTTGCTCACCTTAGTTATACTTAAAATGCACTTTATATGGATTAGATTTATACTGATTAAAAACTCATCACTTCTTGTATGCTGCTGAATAATTAATGCTGACTATTTTAGTCTCAGCCCACAGATTTAAAAGACAAACATTGCCACAGTTTGCAGTATGGAACCAGTACCACTTGATTTGTCACTGAAGTATCAGAAAGTGTTGTAAATGACACAGACTGCGATCGTGAGGCATTCCCAGGACCTGTTGAACATTGCTAGTAAACACAGGTCTGATTGGCAGTCTGTCAGCAAATTTGCTGAGAGCAAAACAAATCTCTGAAATTGCCATGTCTATAAAAAAGAAAATGTGCCAGTAGAAAAAAACCTGATTAACAGATTCTGTAAGTAATCATAAAATGACAATTAAGCAACATGATGCAGAATTGTAAGCACAAGTGGCCAGTATCATCATATCCTGTTTAGAAAGGCAGAAAAAGTCAGTTAATTACAAAGTTGATTGTTGTACTCATTCGTTTGAGGGTTGCTGACGCAGCAGCAATGCAGCTCAATATGAAAGCTTTGTTATTGCTCAGACCAAGTTATAAAATCTCTTGATGATCCATGTGCAGCATGATTTATTCTTTCAGCTAATATTTGTGCTCTTGATAATATGGTAGTGCAGACATGGACTGCAAGAGTCAGTTTAGATCACAGACTTTATGGTTTCCATCTAGGAAAAGCAATGCTAAAAAAGCTTTAATATTCTTCACATTTTATTATTTTAAGCCATCTAAACCAAGAATCATTTTTGCCTAAGTTTTTGTCTTTGCTCTTCTAGGTTGCTCCAAGATTGTATATGAAGGCTTGTCAAGTCTCTGATAACCAGGTCTCTAGAATTTAGTTCTGTGGTCTCAGCACAGCCATCTAATACTGTTTTAAATGTAAAATGTCTATAAAGAGCCTACAGATACCACCCAAGACCTGCAGAACACTCATGTCCTTTTGGACAGGCAAATAAAAAATGGCATCTCCCCTTAAAAATGCTCTCAAACACTCTTAGGCAGCTACATAAAGTTTCTGTAGTTGGACTGCATGGTATTTGCAGTCATTACTTCCCCCAGTAAAAATGAGGTGTATTGCAGTTGATATTTAATAATTTCAGGCTGTACTTTAGTTTCCCATGTACCTGTGCCTCCATGGGAGCTGGGTGTCCAAACTGCCTGTAGAGCTGGTGGAGATCTCATCCTTGGTTCAGGTGCCTTCAAGAGGGCACCTTGATCAATTTAATCGACCTGTGGGATCTATTGTGCCTCATTTGCTGCTCCAGAAGAAAAAGGGTCTCCCATACAGACATGGACCCTACAGACATGGGGTGCAGGGCAGGGGTCTCGGGTACAGGAGATGAGCTCCTGAGGTGGAAGGTACACTCATCTTCTTTAGATAGATAGATAGATAGATAGATAGATAGATAGATAGATAGATAGATAGATAGATGTGAAAATCTAGCCCAGCTTGGAGGCATGAGGGGCTGCAGGAGATTTTGGCAGCTGTAGACGTGCTCAGCTGGCTCTTCTGCTCCTAACTCCCAGGGTAAAACCAGGAGGCTTTGTTGAGGAGGTCTCTTTTGATGGGAACACAGCTTCATGGAGGGCACTGACTCTAGGAGTCTGACTTTTGAAACAAATTAATCCTTTGCTGAATGACTGTGATATTTGGCAGATATGAATAACTATAGTGAAATTCATTTAAGGGGAGGGTGACACATGTATGTGACATAGCAATAAAAAAACAAAAAACCACACAAGTGGGATGCACTTTCTGACTCTTTGCTGTGAGCTGTCAGCATTTTTGTCCTTACTTGTGTGACTGCTAGAAGAATAGAAAGGAGAACAGCAAATTCAATTTTAAGAGTGGTGTGAAATACAAAATAAGACTTACAGAGAGCAGAGGAATGGTTGTGATTTATAAGCACGTATCTCACTTTAATTGGAGAAAACAGAGACTGATTACAAAGTATATACAGATCAGTTTAATGTTTTCTCTGTCATCTTTTCACAAAGTATGCAGCTTCCAGCCCACTGCAGGCAGCAAGAATCCTTTCACTGAGCCGAACTGAAGAAACTTTTTTATCATAATAGAAGGTACTTATTAATGGATATTTATTAAAGATGTGATAGCCAGTCTTGTCTTTTTTTACCTTTATTCTGGGTTTTCTATCATTCCTTTCAATCAGCAACTTACCAGCAGACTTCAGATGCCTTCAGAAATTGCTTGACATGGTTTGGCACTATTTGATTCTGCCTGTATTTAACATCACTCTTTGGAAAGTATTAACTGTACTTCATGCTTTTCCTTACTTTATTTGTACAGTCTTACTTAAAAATAAATGTGAGGAAAATATACATGAAAATGTGTACAACTTGAAATAAAAGTTACAGAGTCGTAG